AAAAACAAATAATATACAGGTGATAAAGTTATTACTTGCTATATTAGCAGCTTTAAAGCTATTTTTGTTTATTTATCTAATTTAAATATAGACGAGCTTGATGATAAGTAAATGATTGTCTCATTTTTTGTCTTTTTATGGGATTTGAAACTCAATTTATAAAATAGTTAGCTAGTTTCTAAGTTGAATTTTATATCCTTCTTAAATTTTTTTTAGTTTTCTCTCAATTTTTTGAAAAAATATATAATAATTTTATTTAAATTCAGTAAAAATTTTTAGATTACAATTCTTGATCATTATATTTTTAATAATTAGATGCTTTAAATAAATATCTTTGATCCATAAAAACTTACTTGCGATAACGCTTTCTCAGAGTTATAGTTAGTTTTAGTACTTAAGGATAATAAATTAAATAATATTTAAAACTCGCTATTGAAATAATTTCCTGATTTACAATTAGTCTATTTGAAATTTTATTATGATATTTTTAATATATTTAAAAATGAATTTTTTCTATCTTTTGTTATGAATTTTGATAAATTTTTAAAAATTTTCTGGCTATTATTATTATCAAATAATCTGATAAATTATTACTAAAAAATTAAATTAATTAGCTTTACACAAACTACAATAACAAACAACATATCTTTCTCTGATTTCAATAGAGACTTAGAATTGAAATTTAGTACTCTAAGAAGAGATACTTAGTCTACTTGCAAGCGATTAAAAGTCATATAATAAATTTATTTCATAAGAATTAAAATAATCATTTTAATAAGTGAACTATTAAAATAAATTTGCCAATTCACCATTTACATTGTAAATTTATTGAGTAAAAAAACCACAAATATTCAAATGAATTCAATTTTTAATTTTCTTTTTTCCTCTAAATCTACCATTTGATCTATCAATTTAATTAAAAAGAATAGGATATTAATGAGAAAACCATTCTAAAAACTTTTCTATACCTTATTCGTTTTAAGCCTTGTTAGAGGAAATTTTCAGTATTTTTTACAGAGGAAGGGTATACCATTACTCATCCCCTCCCTATAATGTTTGTTACTAACCATAAAAATAAGGTTCACTCCTGAGTATAATTAAATGCTCGTTTAAGACTTAAATATATATTAAATAAGATTAATATAAATTTGTTTGTTTCTTTTTAGTAGAAATTGAAAGAATAAAAGTAGAAGTATCTTTTTTGTAATATTATATCATATAAATATAACAGGTTATTACTTGTAAATTGAAAAAATTAAGTGATATTTAAACCAAATAGTATTTATCATCATTTATTAATAAATATTTTAGGCTTTTTTTTTTAGATTTGCAACTCAACAACCATTTATTTATATTATGATAAGTTACATAACTATAAAAAAAGTGTAGTCAAAAATTATAATACTTTACACTTAATTTAACTGATATGTTCGAAAATATGTTTTGGCAAGTTTATTAGTAAAATAAATACATTTTATTTCAGGTTTAGTACTCTTTAAACATATTTAGAACATCATTTTGCTTGTATACATAAAGATATTTTATTAATCTTGATAAAGCAATAGTAAAAACAGTAAATAATATTTAAGTTCATCTCCTTCTTCCTTTCTAAGTATTAATATTTATGCTCTAAAGAAGCAGAATGCTAACTATATCTGCTTTGGCACTCTTTGGCTAAAGTGTTAATTATTTTTTAACATATTGATGGTCATTTTTATCTTTTTGTAAATTCAATATTTTAAAAAACTCACATCTCAATTATAAGTTCAGAAATAATAAATATTATTTTAAATACTTCTTGCTAAATATTTCCAACATGCAAAAATGGATTTCAACTATATACTGTTTACAATAGTAGCAAGAGTAGAGAGGGGAATAAGCAAAATTGATAAGAATATCAAAATAGTTTTCCCTTTATTCTTTTTAAGACTATTATCATTAATATTGAACTTTAAATTAATTTTTTGAATATATTTAATGAATTTAATTATTAAAAAATATTTTATTTGCTTTTATTTAATAGGATAATAAAGCTAATTTCTATTCATTTTTAGAAAAATTATTTCCTAATTTCTTAAATTTTGAAAATATTTTGACTTAGTTATTATTTATTTATTTCAGCTCAGTTAATTAGGCCATAGTTAGCTAGGAATGTTATTCCTAAACCATATCCTTACCAAAATTATGAATGGGTGAGCTAAAATAAGTAAAGATTATGCCAAATAAAATTCTTTTTCAATATCCCTACCCTACCCGCAGAGTAATTATGAACAATTAATTGAGATTAAGTGAGTAATACGTATTCCTAATTAACCAATAATAACTAAAAGATGATACTCTAATGAAGTATAACAAATAAGACTCTTTGATGTAAAACAGAAAGATTTAAATAAATTTTCAGATTTTAATCGTTTTGGCAAAGTATTTATAATTTTTTGTTTATATTTTATGTATTATCGATACAAAATATTTTATTATATTTAAAAGTTACTCTTTATTACTTTGATTGAAATGAAAATTTTAAAAGCGATATATTCAAAGGCTAACCTAACAGAAAATCATATATAATATTAGAGTCGTTTTTACTAATTATAAAAAGATAATGTATATATAAAGTATTCTATTAGTAATTTAAAATATAAAATTTATTTACTTTTAAGATCTTTCAATTATCAAGTATGCAATTACAAAATACATGTATGGTTTAAGTATTTTATGAGTAAAGAAAATTGATTTACTTTAAGATCCATCAATAATCAAATATCTAGTATGCAAATACAAAATACTAATGTACAATTTAAGTATTTTATGAGTAATTTAAAATAAAAAATTGATTTACTTTGAAGATCCTTCAATTATTTATTAATTAATTATCAGGTATTATTTTGATATCAAAATATGGTGGGGGCAAATGAATTTTTGTACACACACAAGCAATTACAAAATAAGAATGTAAATATAATTTAAGTATTCTCTTAGTAATTGAAAAAAATCAAGTATTCAATTGATATCAAAATATAGTGGGGGCAGAAAAATGAAAAATAAATACTCTATAATAGATTTTAATTAATAACATTATTTGATGTAAATTAATAATATAGGATATAGATTCAAGCACTTCATAAATAGAAGCAAAAAGTATTCAAGTAAGCCAATCTAAAACAAAAAATATTTTGATTAAAAGTATTCAAAGTTTTCTTTAATTATGAGTCATCTTTGCTTAGAATAAATTAATTAGCTCAAAAATAATTAATTAATTAACTAATTGCAAATACAATAAATTACTTTTTAGTGAGTTATTGACTAATCATAACAAACAATTAAAAAGTTAGATCAGATTATAAAATTTTTATAAGTAACTTGTAAATAATAATCTGAAGAGTATATATTTATTTTATTTTTTTTGCTTCAATAATATTCGATTTTATTATTCATATTTTTTCAATTTTATATAAGATTGTTTATAAGTGATAGATAAACATGGGAAGTAAATGCTTGTCATATAAATAATTAAATTATGCTTTTTTTTGTGACTCCAGTTGCTTACACATACAAAATTAAGTTTGTGTATCTTCAAATAAAAGTGGGGAGAAAGATTGATTTATCACAATACTAAATGATAAAAAAATTAGGAAAATGCAATCAAAAGAAATATAAAATTGGATAAGAGATTCTTTCTAACTGTGAAATTAATTGACTGAAATAGCAAATAATAATTTTTTATATTTAATTATAAATTTCTCAATACACATACATAATTTTCCTTATTCTTTACTGCTGTTTTCTTTCTTGACAATATTCAATATTCATTATATAATTTCGCTTTAATCTATGAAATAATTTTGAGGTTTTGAGAAATCTAAAAAAAGTTTTAAAATCCTCAATGACTAAAAACATCAAAGAAGAGTTTTTTACTTGGTATTTTTATTCATTGAAAGAAAAAAATAAAAAAAGAAATGGTTTACTTTCTTTAAAAAAAGCCTAAATCCTCCAAAAATTATTTTCATCTAAATCGATTTTTAAATATATTATTTCCACTCTATAAAAATGATAGTTTTTTCATGCTAAAAAAGGTACTTTTAATAAGCAAAATCATTTTTACACAGTAATTTTTTACAATTATTATTTATAAAATAAGTTAATAATATAAACATATTTTTGTGTTTTTTTACTTGTATCTTAAATTATATTATCAACACCAAAATATCACCTAGTAAAAGCAATAAAGATTATACTAATATAATAATTACTTTACTAACTATTACACAACAATTAAAAAACTATAGTTATTTTGTTGCTATCTCCCAGTATTAAATTTGAAATGATCTCTTAACATTTTTAAATGCATACTAAATTAAATCATCAAAATAAAACTCTATCGTTTTGTTTGTTTGTTTAATCATTATTTATTTATTAAAATATATAAATGTCTGCTGGCAAAAAGAATTGTATTTTTAGATAATAAATAGCTTTTTATTTTTTAAATTTATTAGCTCTTAGGTACATAAATACTTTAAGTAATTATAAAATGTGTTTATTTGGGTGATCTTTTATAATACAGCGAAGTAATCCCATATTTTATTTCTAAAAATAAATGTAATTAATTAAGGTTAGGGAATATAAGATTAAAATATTTTTTACCAAAAACATTAACTGCTGAAACATCAATAATAAGATTTAATTGATTTTAAATTATTAAAAATATTTTCTAGTTATCCAAAAAAGATAGATATTTGCTGAAATTGATGGCTTTACCTTATTATTATTTTTTGATGTTTAATAATTAAATCTTACCTTGAGCTAAAGTTTTAAAATAAGGCATTATCGCTATTTTTGGTTTATGCGTTTGAAATCATTTGTTACTTAAATAAAGATTAGTTGATTTTTAGAAAAGTGAGGGTAATGATTTATCATAGTTCTTAATCATATTAAAAAAATCAATAAATATAGAACAAATATAAAAAATAAATCAAATTAACAATTAATAATTTAGATAAAAAATGAGCAGCTAACCAAAACAAAGTGCTCTTAATAGTGTCATAAACATATTTCTAGATATTGTTTCCCAAAAAATTTCTGAGGATGAGCTAAATACGGAGTCTTCATGGAGTAGTATGTGCGATAACATTAGTATAAAAGAGGTATCTCAATAGTAATAACAAGTTTCTTGCTCATAATTTAAGAATTCATAATAGATATCTGCTTAATACTCTGATGCTTCTGATGGATAGTTTGAAGTCTCTAAAATGAAACATAACTAACTATAAAATATGATAAAAAATATCTTAAAAAGCTTTCTAAAGTATTTAATAAAATTGTAAGATATGAATACTATTAGAAAATATTAATCAATGTACAGTAAACACACCATTATATCCTTTTCCTAAATAAAAAAAGTTGTATCTAAGAAAGTAAACATTAAGGCTAATAGGTGGAATTTTTAGCTGCAAAGTATTGTTTAAAGCCAAAAATTAAAGCATATATTTTATGACTATCTAATTGATTCATCAGAATCATGGTTATTACAATCAAAAGTTTCTAATACAAATGAACATCAAAGACTTATTTTCTTTATTCTAAATTGCATTGAAAATAACTAACCATTAAAAATAAAAACATATAAGAAAAAAAAATGAAATTATAAAAACTTTTAAAATGAATTTATTTTTTAATTTGTATATTTATTTATTTATTTATTAGACTTTAACTTAAATTATTTTATCATAATACTTTGAAACAATTATGAAGTATCCATTTTTATTCTTAATTTATTCGAATCTATTAATTAATATTTTATTATTTAAATCTGATTATTCATTCATATATTATTTAAGTGACCATTTTTTTATATTTATTATTTTCATTTAATCCATTATATTTCTTTTATTATCTATTTTACCAATAAGCTATCTCTCAACGTTTTTTAGCACTATCAATCACTTTTGCAATATAATTGAATTAAAGATTATCTTTAAACTAATATTTATTTTCTGATATATTTTGATATATATTAAATGAAAAATAATTAGTGTGTCATCAAAATATTTAAAAATTTTTGTGTAAAATTACAAGATTTCTACTCTAGCGGTAGAGCTACCACAAAGATTTTAAGCCAGGAAGTGCTATATAATATATATAAATATTTATTAGCATTGATTTAAATTAGGAAATATATTTAATCTGAATAAAACATTATTTTAAAACAGTAGCGATAATTGTAATTAATGTTTGTTATTATGCTTCAAGTTAACATATTTAAATTAATCTAAATTTCTTTGGTTGTATTTATACTTTTTGATTTCTATTAATCAAATTGAATCTTTTAAAAGTTGTATATGTCTTCCTTAACTTCTTAATCTAAATAAGCTTTTAGTATTTTATAGAAAATCAAAGTATTTTAATTCTTAAAGAATTATTTATTGAATATTAATTGCCTTTAGGTCAACATAAAATATAATCTAGATTTTTTAATTTTTGAAATAAAATACAATTCTTTTGATTGAGAAACTTGGACTGAAAAATATCACTCAAATTTATTTAAATAATTGCATTTTAAAATTATGAGAATCTGAAATTTTCTATCAAAATAATTGAATCAGCTTTTTTCTTTTTTAATTAAATTGACGTATGTATATAAGTAAATTAACTGTTTACCTTAAATAATTTAATTTTGTTTTAGTTTATTTCAAAGAAGAAATTTATAGTTTTTTAAATATAATTTATTCAAATAGTTTTTGAAAATACAAAGTATAAAATATTTACTTAGATATTATTATTATTTATCATTTTTATTACGATTATTATTAGTAATTTAAATGATATTTATAGATTGAATTTATCAATCAAAGTAAATGATTAATTTATTTTTTAAATTATTAAAAATTAATAAGTCATATAAAAGTTTTTGGCAAGATTTTCGAAATAATTTGGGATGTAATTTTTTAAACGTAATCCATCCTTTAATTTCAATTTGTAAAAAAAGAAAGAAAAATTCTTAACTTCTTAGCCTAAAAGAAAGACAATAATAAATATTAAAGAGTAAAATGAAAAGCACTTAGTTCTTATATGATCGCGCTGGTTAAATATAAATTTTATTATTTTGAAAATCCTAAATCAAAAGGAAATAAGCATCTGGTTGATTTATATTGTTAATATTTCAAACCTTTCTTTGTATATTCTTTTATAATATAACTAATAATCCAAATTCATATTTTTAATTAGTAATTATTCAAAATATGTATAGACTAAGTATACCAAAATTTGGTTGATCACTCTAATAATCGATTATCACTAATCTGAAAACAAGGAGTGTAAATAAATTAAGATTTTGCAAAAGCTTTAAATAATTTAAATTGTATTGCAGCTGATTAATTTTTAATAGCAAGAAATTATGCTTATTTCATATTTTAGATGAAAATAATTAGATTCTTTTACAAACACACACTATCTATCTAATTAAATTTTCAATTTTTGAGAAAAATGCTTTTTAATCTTCTTCTATCATTAACTTCAAAATAATTTTATCTAAATTTAGTAAAAATTCTTTATTTCAAATTCTTGATCTTATAATTGAAAGTAATTAGTATATTTTTAATTATTCTACACTATAAATAATAAAATTTTATATCTATAAAAGTCTTTATAACATTATCTTAAAGCTATAATTAATTTTAATAATCAAAGTTAATTGATTATTTTCAAAATATAAAATATAATTTTTAATATTTTAGATAGAATATAAAATAATGATCTGAATAGAAAGTAATTAGCATTGGAGAAATTTCTATTTGATATTTAAATTTATTTAATAACTAATTTTTCTATCTTTTGTTAGGAGTTTTTATAAATCCTGAAGCTTTCTAATTATTATAAAAATCAAAACAAATCTGATAAATTATTATTAAAATTGTAAATTAATTAGTTTTACACAAACTCCAATAACAAATCAGTATTTTACTCTCATTTATAGTTGAAAATAATAAAACTCATAAGATATGCCTAGCTTGATATCAATAAATCGAAAATAGAGATATTAATTTTTATCTCATAAGAATTAAAATATCATTTTAATTAGATAATTTTTAAAATAAGTTTCCATTTTCACCTTTTACATTGCAAATTTATTAAGTAAAACAACCACACACAAATGTTCAAATATTATGAAAAATTGTTAATATTCTTTTTTATCCTTACTCAAATATTTCTAATCTTTAATTAAAGTATATATGAATTATAATTAGAAAATTTGTTTTGAAAATAATTCTGATTTTTTTAATTATTTTGTTATCGCAAATGAAGAAAATGACTATTTTATCGAAATTGTTGAATATTAGCCAGTAATAAATCAACAATATCTTGATAAATCTTTTAACTAAAATAATTAAAGTGGTACATATACTCTAATAATAGCTAGATTAAAGGATATAGTTGCCATAGACTAGGTTCATCATAGTACTAATAGATAATAGAAGTAGAATAAGACAGAATTATTGCATACAGAAGACTTTAATGAGGATGAGTAACTTAAAAGTCTAAAAATATTCCACATATAAAATAATATCAAAAATATTGAAGAGTTTTTAAAATATTTAAATGATTAAAGTGATGCTATTATCGAATAAAAGTATCAATCTATATATAAATCATTCTTACTTTGAAATTAAAAATATTTATCAAGAAAAATTAATTAGAAACAGCAAGATGGATTTTTTAGCTAAAAAGTGTTGTTTATTGCATTATGGGGTCCAGAGAAATATGTTTACATTATTTTTTGATTGGGGTAGAATCGGACCTATTGCTATATATTTTATATATTAAGCAAATACTAAATTTAAAAAAAAGACTATAATTTTTTATTGATTGATTTCTAATTCTGATGAATTATGTCCTAATATTTTTAAGGATTATTGATTTTATTAAGTATTATTAAACTTACTTTTATTTTTGTAATATTATTTCTTAATAATTATGTATATAAACTTGATGTAAAATAAATTATTTAAGAATTAATTATTTTAATTACGAGCTTTTCTTAAATAATTTGAATTGTATTAATAATAAGAAAAATTCAAATTGGTTTTTTTTGCAAATATTCATTAATTGTAATTATAATACATCTAAATTAAGAACTAACCTAAAAATATCTTTATTTATTATTTGATTTTTTATTAATATCTTTTTAAAATTATAATCAATATTAAGCTCTCAAAAAAAAATATTTAAGGGCTGTGTTTAAAAATTATAAATTTATAGAAGTATTTTTTAATAGTAAATAAAATATACATTCATTTTCGACAAATTATTGTAATGATACAGAGAGTTTTTTATTCTATTTAAGATGTAAGCAACAATTAAAAAAGATAATCTTTATAAATTTAAAAATAAAATGCTAATTTTATACCTCAGTTTTTTTATTTCAATCCTTTTTCTCTCTAATTTATCTTAATTATAATAAGATATGAAAAAATTATTTTTTTTTATTATCTAATAATTTTAAATTGTTATTGATCTCATTTGAAAAGCTGACCAAAAAGTATTAGACTATGGTAAGAGTTTTTTTCTTGAAATTAGATCAGTCATTCAAATACATTCTTAAATGTTGTTTAATTTGATTCTTGAATAAATAGTTAATAATTTATTTTTAATGATATATCTTTCTTTCCTGAATTTAAATTATCAATTATTTAATTAAATATACACAATATAATTTTTTGAGTAAAATAATTGTGATATTTAAGCAAAGATAGCGTATAAAAAAAATATATATATCAACATTTACAATAACTAGTAAATTTTCAAATATAAAATATATTTAATATATAATATAATACAACAAAATTTAAAAGTTACTTTTGTAAACTAATATTAAGAATAGATTATATAAATTAAAAAGATTTTTATCCAAATAAATTAGTTTATTAAAAATATTATTTAAAAAAATATTTTGTAGTATGTCATATTTATTTTTACAAAACTTTGAACAAAATTAATATTATTTCTAAAAAATAATAATTGTTTGATATTGTCGTAATTTATTTTGGAGTGATGTGTTATCACAATCACTAATCACTGGCTAAAATTTTAATAATTCTTACTTTCAATAAATATATATTTTATCTTTTTTGAGTTGCTTCATAAAATAAAGAAAATTGATAAAGCATAATTTGTGAAGCTTTAAAAAAAATCTTGATCTATTAAAAGTAAAAAATAATTAAAATTACGAAAAATATTATACTTAAAAAAAAGTAAAGTTTATGAATTCTCAACAAAATAACAACGCTCTAAATAGCATAATAAACATATTTCTTGATGTGGTAGCTTAATAAATTCCTTAAAATGAACTAAATATTGAATCTGACTCTTACTATGAATGCGATAGCTGTTTTTAAAAGGAGTTAATTTTGAAAAAATAGTAGAATTCGAGCTTTGAACCATTGCAAATCTATTAAGAATCTACTAAATAATCTGAAGATTATGACTATTTTAGAGAAAGGATCGATCCTAAATTGAAATAAAATCAATAATAAAATACAATAAAAAACATTTTAAAGAGCTTTCTAAGCTATTTAGTAAAATTATAAGACTCTAACATCAAATAAAAATATTAATAAATATATTTCAAACAAATCAATAAGCCTTTTTCTGAAATTAAAAAGGCAGTGTCAAAGAAAGTGAATGTCAAAACGAATAGATGGAATTTTTAGCTTAGAAGCCTTCTTTAAAGTTAAAGTTTAAGGCTTATATTTTATGATTATCTATTCAATAACTCCTAATAATGGCTTTAAAAATCTAAAGTGTTTAATTTAGATGAACACCAGAAGCTAATTAATGTTCTTTTAAATTGCATAGAAAATAACTAACCATTAGACATAAAAATATATAAGAAAAAGAAATGACCAATCTAAAATTTGCTTAAATATAACTTGTTAATTATTAATATTCACAATCAAAACAATATATAAAATCTTTAAGTATTTATTATTTTGTATGAGCTTGCTCGAATTTTTATTTATATTTACTATACTTTTATATTTTCTCAATACTTAAGAAAACATTAGCGATTAAAAAATCAATAGTTAATATTGCGTTTGTCATTGTGTTCAACATATTAGTTTTTAATTTAAATCAATCAAAATTCTGTTGGTTAATCTTAGATTTATATTTATTAAATTGAATCTTTTAAAAAATAAATTCCTCACTTAACTTTTTAATTAAGTAATGTTTTGGCTATTTGAAATAAATCATAGAATTTTAAATCTTAAAGATTTATTTTATTGAGTATTGTTTTTGTGTTTATAAAAATACTTTAACCAATTTTTCTTATAAGCTTTTTTAATTATTGAAGCCAAATATAATCCTTTTACTTGAAAAATATTTTCTTAAAAATTTAATTCATATTTATTTAGATAATTACACTGTAATAAAATATCAATCAAAAGTTATCTAGCCAGATAATTGAGTCAGTTTTTTAAATATAATATGTTTTTATTCTATTGACGTATGCAGTAAATTAACTGTTTACCTTAAATAATTTGCATTTGATTCTAGGATTAAAAACAAAATTAATTAATTTTTACTTTTTATTAGGTAAATTTTAAATTAATATTCTAATAAATGCTTTATCATTTTCCCCACATGCTTATTATACTTTTCTAAGTTTTTTTAAAATTGAAAAGAAATGGTTCTATTTATTATTGATGAAATTCTTCAGTGATAAACAAGCAAATAAAGAACATTTAAATAAATTTAATACCACCATTTTAATATTTTAGCTAATAAATCTTAAATTTGCTAGTTTTGTATTCTTTTTGGTTATATTGGAAATAATATTTAAAATTTACATAAACGTCATTTAAAAATTTGCAATTATTTTAATCAAAAATTTTAATGAAAACATAAGGCTGAAGAACCATATAAATATCTCTTTATGTATTTTATCAAAACAAAACTAAGGTAGAGTTTATTTCTTAGAAGATAAATTGCTATTTTTTTACTTAAAATTTGCTCAAATATTTTCTAAATATGCAGCTTTATTTAAACAACTTCTTTTGATTTAATTTTTCAATCAAAGCAAATGAATAGTGAATTTTTAAAATCAAAAAAAAAGAATGCTTCTTCTAAAAAATTTTAATAAGAATAAATTGTGAACACTATTTGAGAGGTAATATATTAAACGCAATTCATCCTTTAAAATCAGGTTATAAAAAATAACAGAGAAAAATTCACAACTTTCTTTTCTTGAAAACACAAAATAATCAAATAATTAATATTTTTAATTAAAGAAAGAGTCAAAAGAAACAATTAGTTATTTTAATGAAAGAAGTGGTTAAATATAAACTTTGTTACTTTTAAATCTTACATCTAATAGAAAGAAATATCTGATTATTTTGTTATATTTTTAAAATTTCGCACTTTCTTTTTTATATTTTTATGTATTAGCTATCAAAAAGAAATTGTATATATAGGATTATTATTCATGTTAAAGAGAGGTATAATTCATAATAAAAAATAATAACTATGTGTTATAATAATTAATAGTTATTATTTTTTAAAAATAGAATATTCTTTTGTTATTTTATATACTTTCTAAAACACTTATAAACTAAATATACAAAAATTTAATTAACCATTCTAATAATCAATTGTCATAATCTGATATTAAAAAGTGTAAATAAATTAAGAAACTACAAAAGTAATAAAAAATTAAATTTTATTGCAACTAATTATTTATTTTTTCATGAACATCAAATTATCTTTATTTTGTAATTTAGATGAAAATTTATAAGAATTTAATTACTTTTTTTTTGCTTTAGCTAAAACAAAAAAATATAGATATAATTTTAAAGTTGCTATTGGTTATATAAGCATCTTCAAAACAATTTTTTATTTATTTATTTAATTAAAAATATAGGTTATTTATCATTAATAATGAGTTATTGTCTAATTTTAATATTATTATGAGTATTTTCAAAAGCAAATTATAAAAAAGTTTTAAAATAAATTGAATTTTCTCTCATATTTTTAAAAATTTTAAAATAATTTATCAGCAAAGTGTAAAAAAATTTCAGTTTAAACTTTTATGGTATATTTTTAACAATTAGATATCTTTAATATTTATTTTTTATTCATAAAACTTGCATAATTGCTTTTTCAAAGTAATGATTTGTAATAAAACTAAATGCTAATCAATTAAATTATCTTCAAATATTAAATTGAAATATATTTTTTATATTATAAATAAAAGAATAAATAATTTTCTAATTTACATTTAGTCTTCTTTCTTGAAATTTCTATTTTGTATTTTTAATTTATATAGCAACTATTATTTTCTATTTTTGTTATAAGTCTTGATAAATTCTGAATTATTATTAACGTCAAAAAAATCTGATAAGTTATTATTGAAAAAGTAAATTAATTAGTTTTACATGAGCTAAAATAACAAATGAGTTAGATATCTAAAATACAAAGCATTTTAATAGTACTTTTAAATTGAAAGAATATAAAATAAAATTATGGAATACAAATTGATTATTATTATATCCTTTATAATTTTTACATTCAAACTCAATACTTAAACACAAATAGTAACCAAAGATTTTTTTATCTAAAAATTTTGATTCAAGCAATTAATATAATATAAAATATAATAATTGAACTCGGTATAGTAGTATTTAAATAAACTTCAGATAGATAAAAAAGCGAATGAATAATAAATAAATGTTTAATTAAATCTTTATAAAAAATTTAAATTTTAAGCTCATAAAATAAAACATACTATTAAAGTAAACATGTTTTTTTTTTTATTTTTTTAGTATTTTAATCACGTTTTCACTAATATCATATAAATCTTTTCACTATTTGCTAGCTGATTGACAAATATTAAATTACAATTAATAATAAATATTTATTATCTCAAATTCAATATGATATTTTTATGAATCAAATTACTAAAAATGCAATTCATTTTTTGGTAAAAGATGTTAAATAAATAAAGAGAATTCCATGAGAAATTTTGAATTAAATTTATAATTAAAAGAAACCATGAATGAATGAATTAATAAATAAATATAAATTTTAGAAGATCTTTAGTTTAAAAAGCATCAAACAGTTAGTAAATTTCTAAAATAATATTGAAAAATACCTACTTAAATTAGATTTAATCAAAAATATCAATTTTTATCTCATAAAATAAAAATAAATATTTTATTTTTATTTATTTATTAATTAGAGATACTGTTAATCTAATTTAAGGTCAGAAAAAAAAAAAATTTTTTTATCAAATTTCTTAACATTTAAATTATTATTATATTTATTTATGCTGCCCTTAAATATTTTTTTATTTATTTGAGGTTACGGTAAATACGGTTTTACTTTCTTTCAATATTTAATTTTGTAGCCAAATTAATATTTTGAGAAAGGTCGTTAATCATATATTTTTTATGACTTTAAATTGGATTATTCAACTTCTTTTCTTTATTTACTTTTTAAATAGTATCAAATTAATACAAGTTTATAAATAATTAAAATAAATAAATGAATATTATTAATAGAAATCAAAAAACACTTATAATTTTATAAGATCTCTATTATTTGATTTAGCTACTAAACATATTTGTGATAAAAAAGCTATTTTTAATTAAGTTAAATTTTAATCATAATCTCCTTTTAATTATCTAAATAATCATTAACTATTTTAATTAAAAAACATTATTATAATATAATTATATATAATTTATTATTAAAAATTCTATTAAATCTAATTAATTCTTTAAATTTTGAGTGAAACCAAGAATTCTAAATTTTTGATGAAATTTGATAGATAATGCAAAACTAAATTAATAATTATGTTGAGGTAAAAATAGTAATTCAACTTTAAAAAATTCTTTAGTTTTTGGAATTTTATTATATTAAAAAATTGTCAAATTAATCATAATAACAATCTAATAAAACACTTTTCATTTGTATATCTAAATGCCCGACATTAAAAATGCTAGTTCATAGCAGATTTATAATGATGTAAGATATAACAATATGGAAAAGTTAAATAAACTCCTCAAATTTTAATGAAAGAAAATATTTTATTATTTAGATTTAAATAAATACAATTATATTTTTAATTAATTTCATTTTGAAAAGCTGATCAAATTAGAATATTTTTAGAGTTTCTATATTGAAACTTGATTAATTATTCAAATATATTTACTCTTTAAATATTATTCAAAGAAAAGTATTCAATAAAAATTTTTTTTAATTTAACAAAAAAAAATTCTTTAATAAATAGTGAATAATTTATTTTAAATAAAATATTTATCTTTCATTAATTCAATTTATTATTTTTTTAATTAAATATTCACAAGAGAATTTCTTATTATGATAATTGTTTTTTTTTTAAATATTGCATATATATGTACATTAACATTTATAATTAATAGTAAATTCTCAAATAGAAATTGTAGCTAATATAAATTACAATACAACAAAATTTAAAAGTTTGCTTTTTTTAAACTAATATTAAGAATAAATTATACTGTAAACTCTAATTAATTAAGGCCAAACCCCCTCTTCATAATTTTTTGCTCAATTTTTAGTCTTTTCAAAAATTTATTCTTAATTTATAAAGGACTTAATCAATGAAAGGTTACAGTTTAAATTAAAAAATATTTTTTATTACTGTAAATTAGCTTGTTAAAAATATTATTAAAAATCATATTATATGGTAAGATATTTTCAATTATATAAAATATTAAATAGTAATTAATATTATTTCTAGTAAATAATGATTGTTAGATATCACCATAAAATATTTATTTTAGAGTGATGTCTTATTGCAATCACTGGTTTTAATTTTAACAATATTTGTTTCCAATAAATACACATATATAATATATTTTTTCTT